CATGTGGGGAAGACAAATCTGTAAGTCAGAGAAAGTGTCTTTTCCAGTAAGAACAAAATGTTGCTTTTTTTTTTTTTTTAAGATTTTATTTATTTATTTGTCAGAGAGAGAGAGCACAAGCAGGGGGAGCGGCAGGAAGAGGGAGAAGCAGGCTCCTTGATGAGCAGGGAGGCCGATGTGGGACTCAGTCCCAGGACCCTGAGCCGAAAGTAGACATTTAACCCACTGAGCCACCCAGGCATCCACAGAATGTTGCTTCTTTCATAATGTATGTGGTCTGATGTAATCCACTGTGACCAGGTAGCTGATTGATCACTTTCGGGAATGATGCCATATTGGCTTACACTAAGGGTTGTTCTTTGCTGCTGGCAGATTGGGCAATCAGTAATGGCTGTAGCCAGGTTGGCTTTGGTGTGTGTAAGTTCATAGTGACGAGACCATACATAACATCCATCTCTGCCACCGTGGCCACTTTGTTCATGAGCCCATTGGGCAATGACAGGGGTGGCTGGGGAGAGAGGCTGACTGGTCTCCACAGAAGGAGTCATCTTATCCACTTGATTATTAATATCTTCCTCTTTTGAGTCACCTTTTAGTGAGCATTAATTTCCTTGGCACCAGTTTTCCATTCCTTCCAGGTCCCTGACCATCCATTGTTCCATACCCTTAATATTTATTCCCACACATGTTCTCTGGATTTCTGTCATTATAAATTAGAAAAACCAGGTAGTTCTTTTGTTGTGTTGGGTGTTGTGTACCTCCTTATGAGTCACACTTTATACCTCACATTTAGTGGCCTGCTGTGACTTAAGTGTAGTTGAAAGTCTAGATGCAAAGAGGGCTTTGGGCTGTGGGTCCTGAAAAGAATCAGCTTTTTTTTTTCTTTCTTTTAATTGAGAGAGCAAGAACGAGTGAGGGGGAGGGGAAGAGGCAGAGGGAGAAGCAAGTGACTACCCGCTGAGCAGGGAGCTCGATGTGGGGCTCTATCCCAGGACCCTGAGATCATTACCTGAGCTGAATGAAGTCAGATGCTTAACCCACTGAGCCACCCAGGCGCCCTGAGAATCACCTTTCTTGCCTGGCAACAGCCTCAGGGGAGGGCATTACAGTTTCCTTAGGCAACAAAGGTTAATTTTCCCAGACTAAGGTAGAGAGACCACTTCTACTGAGGGTGGGAAAGCTTCTTCATTGACAAAGAATTACCAGAATTTAGAGAGTCATTGTCTCCAGCTGCATCAGGGTTTTCCCACATGTCCCCATTCCAATTTGCAGGACCCCGTTCTTTCTCAGTCAGTGTCCTCACTTTTACAATGGACACTTGTGAGGCTGGTAGTTCTGCTTGCATTATAATTCAGCTAGTTGCAGGATGAGACTCTGTTTGATTTTTAACAATCTCAGCCCTTCAGCTACAAGAGATAAGGGTTACCTTCAGGGCACACTTAGAAAATTAGAGGTTATTTATGCTGTGCTGAGCTCGGTATTTGAATTCCTGAATTTGTCCATTTTTTCCACTTCCTTGTCCAGTGACCTTAGGAGCAACCAACCAATTTCATTATGTTGTTAGTTTTCTGAAAGTGTTTGAAAGTGTCATGTACATACTCATCCAGATTCAAATGTCAAATCTCATCCAGAAACACCTCCACAGACACACTCAGAGGAAGGTTTAACCAAATATCTGGGTATGGCATGGCTCCGTCAAGTTGACACATAAAATTAACCATCCCATTCCTCTGTCTTTGGACACTTCGGTTGTTTCTTGGCTATTGTGAATAATGCTGCCATGAACATGAGTGTACAGATATCTGTTTAAGTCTCTGTTTTCATTTATTCTGGGTATCAAGTGGTATTTTTATCCATTTATTGCATAGGCTTAGTTGAAGTTTAGAATTCTATTTGCTGAATCACTTTAATCACCAGAGGCATGTTTTAGAAAAAACACTTGTGTTACATCTGATGCATATTTAAGTTATATGGATTCAGTCATACTGTATTTTATAGGTGAATGAAGGTATTTTTAATGGAAATGTTTTATTATACTTGATTTTTGCCTAATCCACTGCCTTTGGAACCCAGTGTCTATGTAAAATGCAGCTTATAGTATTGCTTTCTTTTTAAAAAGCAGGAAAAATAATTTCTGACATTTTCATTCTACATGTCTTCTCAATGCTAATGAAATAAAAAAATACCTATATCTGGTTCCCTTGTTAATAGAGGAGAAGTTTGAAGAATGCCTATTTATTTAGTTTTCATTTTGTCATTTATAGGAACATATCAAGCAGAGCAAAAGCATATTTCTATATTTATAACTTTATAAGGTAAGGGAGAGAGGGGCAGAATATTTTAGGGTTGATATGGCACATAGAGTAAGTATGGTGATTTTGAAAGAGCATTGAGTTAGATATTGGAAACTACATCTATTCCATTAACCACACTGTACTATTAAGGTATAATTTTGGACAAGCCATTTTTCCTCTCTGAGCTCATTTCCTCATCTGAAAGACAGTGAAGGTGATAATACATGCTACTATATTATAGGGTTGTCATGATCAAGTGAGATAAAGTATGTGAAAACTTTAAATTGGTATGTAGATGTTAGGTGGCATTTTATGATCTGAGCTGATAGACAAAATGGCTGTTAGACATAATATATCTGTTTATATATTAGATGGTTGCTGTGTGTCTGATTAAAAGGTTTCTAAGTTTTGAACTGTAGATGACTATAGTGAAGGAGCCTCAACTCATTGGAAAGAAAGAAGAATTTTCTAACCACTCCAAGCCATTTTTGCTATTAAAAAATCTTCTATTTTACTCTGTTTTGCAAAGAATTACATGGTGTTCAGAAATTCACTAATGAATCAGAAATTTGTCAGCCTATATCCCTTTTTTAGCCCGGTATGTATATTATGTGACATTTCCATTTTACTAGAGAATTTGTAAACATTTTTTATTTTTGAATTTTGAAGATGTTATATTTTTATGTGAGTCGAGGTTTATTTGATATAGCAGTTTGAAGAGTACTAAAAAATGATTTTTTTGATGGCTTATCTTTATGTCCTACAAAAAGAGACTAGAGACTAGAGGTAGACAAACTACTTTTTTCTTTGGCATATTTTGATGTTCCATACAGATGGATTTGTTATATCTCTGTAAGAGATAGAAATAAAGTGTTTCTTCTGAGATAATTCTTTTGTAGGAAAAGGGACTAGTTTGCTTTATTACATATCCTAGAAGCTGGTTTCTCCTCAGGAACTTGAGTTAGAATGCAAAATCTCGAAACCTAAACTTTTAAAAAAAAATCTTTTCTTTGGAACAATAAATTTGAAGTTTATCTTTTTGTTTTTCTGAGTTTTGGTATAACTCTCTTATGACATATAGTAAGAATTTTTGCCTCATCCTATAATAAGAGCCTAAAAGATATCATTAAATACTTGTTGGCAGACTGATTCTAGGCTGGGGCAGGGAAAAGATAAGCCTAGAGCAAGCATCTTGTAACACAAAATAAAGGAATATTTAAAAAGCAAAAAGATAAGAGCATGTCAAACAGTTATAGGAGCCAGCTGGAGGAGCTTACAACTGTGGCCATTGCTGGAACAATTTGACCAACAAAATAAATGATGTAGTATATATTGTAACCCAAAGTATATAATAAATATCCATCATTCAATACTGATATAAATAAGATTGAATAACTATAAATGGAGGAAGAGAGACAAAAATTTCATACAGAAGAATTACAAATAATATATGTAGATATTCTCTACTCCACAAGGTAGAGTATAATTCCACCTCTTCCTCTTTGAATGTGGGCTAGACTTACTCACTTCCAAGGAATGAATAGATTATGGAAAGGGAAAAATAGTAACTTCATAGCTGAGAAGTCTGGCAGACACTGTCGTAGCCAACTGATGGAGATTAACATCCCCAGTGATGTCCCTTGGATATCACGTTCCCCTTGATATGATGTGATAAAAGGGGCAGTTTACCTCTGTGGTAATCTTTCTAAAAACCTGTAACCCTAGTCTAATCACAAAATTAAAAAAAAAAAAAATCAAACACACCTAAACTGAGGGTCATTCTATAAAATACCTAAGCAGTATTCCTCAAAAGAGTCAAGATCATGGAAAAGAGGCAAAGACTGGAATCTGTCACAGACCCAGAGGAGATTGACATACATGACAGCTGCATGCAGTGTGGTATCCTGGATGGAATCCTGGAATAGAAAATGGACATTAATGGGAAAACTGATGAATAATTTCTGGGCTTAGTTAATAGGAACATACAGATGTTGGTTTCTTCACTTTCACAAATGTACCCTGGTAATGTAGGATGTTAACAATAGGGGAAACTGGGTAAAGGACATACAGACACTATCTGTACTTTCTTCCAACTTTTCTGTAAATCCAAAATGATTTCAAAATAAAATGTTTATTTAAAAAATTTTGTTGACAATTTTTTTTATTGTATGGAAATCAAATGGTGTGAAGAATAAAAACTGCTTTGTGTTAACCACATTTTCTCCAGTTAGCATGTTGTATTTTAATATTGTGCTTTTTCCTGTAAAAATGGAATAATGTGCTATATTACCCCTATTTAAATTTGTAAGTTTCCTTATTCATAAATAGTAGTTTCATCTTTATGTAAGATTTAGTGACCATTTAAAAGACCCAAAACTTTAAACTATAGATGGACGTTAGTAAGATAAAAATTAATAGCTGAATATTTTGAGAGGAAGAAGTTAATAATTTACTGTAGTGGTACATGAGATCTAAAATTGTGATTGTTTTGGAAATTATGATTTTGAAAGTACTTTTGATATTGTCATGATATAGCACTTGGGGAACTTAAAATTTAAAAAATTATCAATAAGGCAACACATAAAAAGTAATCTGGTAGAACAAAAGAATACTTAAAATAATCAGAAATCTTTGTTATTAACTTTGTTATTAAAATATAACTTTGTTAAGAAAATGAATGTAAGCGCATTTCATATTCTTTTCTAGATTTATTATCTAGGATTGATTTGGATGAGCTAATGAAAAAAGATGAACCACCTCTTGATTTTCCTGATACCCTGGAAGGATTTGAATATGCTTTTAATGAAAGTAAGTGGTTGTATGCTACATACAAGATTTAGTTATGCTAATAGAATCATAGGACAGATATTATTCGCTATTTTTATTTGCAAGTTAGAATATTTTATGTATTTCATTTAAGAAATAATGACTTCTCCCTTTGCGGTGAAATTCTTCACTCAAGCAAAAGAACCAAATTGTAATTTCCCATAATTGTCAAGTCACTTAAACCAAAAGACATGAATTTGATTTGACTGAATGTATTTCAACCCTGAGCTTTCAACTCTCTGGCATCCAATTAGAACTCCAATTAAGTTATATAGAAAGATGCTACTTTTTCACATATTTAAAGTTAAATGGCTAGCAATTATCATCTGTGATAATATTTTAAAGCATAACACTCAGTTTTCCATGATTTTTTAAAAATCCATCCTTATTTTAAAATTTATTTTTATAAAGATTGATTATTTATTTATTTATTTGAGAGAGAGCGAGAGCAAGAATGAGAGACAGAGAGACAGAGAGAAGCCGACTCCCCGCTGAGCAGAGAGCCCGACACAGCTCGATTGATCCCAGGATCCCCAGATCATGATCTAAGCCAAAGGCAGGCGCTTAACTGACTGAGCCACCCAGGCACCCTGTTTATTTTAAATTTATTAATTAAAGTCTGAATAATAAATGCACTTGAGGTTTGGAAGAACATACCATAAGTTACAAGGATGTTTCTGAAACAAATAATTAAGATTCCCTGAATTAATAACATACTGTTAACACTTGAAGAGTACTATTGTTACAGGCTTGGTAGCGTTTACGTTGTAGCTTTCTATTTGTTGCTCCACATCAACTAAATTGGTGATTTGTTATCATTGTGGTAGTGGATATCCCTTCTTATAGGTATCAGGATTTATAGTGACAGTCTCTGTGTACTAGAAGATTAATTGATTTTAAACAGATGATATTAGAAACTTTGATCTCTTTTCTGATGTTAGTTTTCATGCTTTTTAATAAAGGATATCTTAATACCAAGATATATATAAGTAGTAATATTTTGTTTTTTCAAATTTCTTTATATTTTAATTAACAGAACCAAATGAGCATTTAGACTAAAATTGTCTTTATTCCTTTAAAATGATTCCTAGATTCCTTCAGAACAGGAATTGGATGGGGTGTTGGTATTGTGGGTAAATCATAGAACTATGTTTGCTTTGTGGATATAGGACATCAGTTTTCGCTAAAGTCTATGTTTCATCTTCTGTGAATATTTTTTAAAGTGAGTAAAAAAACAAAGAAAGAATACACTTTTTTTTTAAGTAGGCTCCACACCCAATAGGGGGCTTGAATTCATGACCCTGAGATCAAGAGTTGCATGCTCTACCAACTGAGCTAGCCATGTGCTCCAGAAGCAATAAACTTTTATCTTCCCCTTTCTTACCAGATACATACACACATCTTTTCACACACTTGTACACCCTTGCATGTATTTACCTTGCATTCACACTTATGTACATACCTATACCTTTGCATACACATGTGTCCTTTCATGTACATATACCTCAAATGTGTGTGCATCCTTGAACACACGTACCATTCATTTTATAAGTATCTTGGACATTGTCTTGCATTAACATAGACTAAGAGTATGAGGCAGAAATACTTGAATTCTAAGGAGAGAATGTCACTTTTAAGGATCTTTTTTAGTTTGATACAGTTCACCTTTGAATTTGGGTTAATGGTGAATATTTTTTCAAAGAGGTGAATATTTGGAAACAAGAAACTGGGTCTCAATATGAAACCTCTAAAAGGGCAATTCTAACTTAGTATCTTTGGGGACTTCTTTTTTAACTTTATGATGACAAAAACTTTTATGAAAGCTTTGAAATTGAACTTTCATTACCTGATTGAAGAAGTTTCTAATTTTTCTAAAGGATTTTAAAGTAGTTAGTTGGATAAAAGATGAATTTGGATACAAATTTTATTCTAAGCCAAACAATTTGTAACAAAGGGGAAGAGTTTTTTTTTAACCTACATCAAATTGATACCTTATTCTTGCAAATCACTGTGCCTTTTCAAATACACCTGTGTTTCCCATTGTTGTAATTGTATAAGGCCCAGCTTAGATATCCTTGCTGATGAAGAAGCTGAAGGCTTTTCCCCTTTTCCCCTCACCTATACTCCCTCTGCTCTGGTGCAGTACACTTTTATATCACTAAAAAAAATAATTGGACTTGAGGCAGACCATTTGAGTTTGAATATCGTCTTCCATAATACCTGATATTTATTGAACTCTTAATACATGCCAGGAAGTATCCTAAATACTTTCAATTTATTAATTCATTTAGGCAAGTGATAGCCTCTTTGAGGTCCTAGACTCCATAACAAATCTGATAAAATATATGGATACAGTTCCCAGAATAGCACACATTTTAGGTATACATGTGAAACTTTACAGCAGATTTTAGGGGACCCTAAGCTAAAGTATCCTAAATCAGACCTTTGACAGTCACTGGAGAGATTGTCCAAACCTTTGAGAAATGCCATAATTGCAAACAAAAATATAACATAAGTGATCCAGATGTTTTTTCTGGATAAGAACTTGCTCACTTTCTTTGACTCTTAACCTTCTTTTCACTTTTAACACTAGTGCTAATAGGTGGCTATTTTGACAGTCCCATTTTCCTACAGAATCCAAAAAAGAGTGTTCTAGTGATCTAACACGGTGTCTCATGTTGAGAGTATTAAAAACTTTACAAATAAGGATTAGCCCTTGTTTTGCATATTTAAAAAGGCAGTTTTGTGTGTGGTGAAATTGATTCATAAAAATAGTGAAGTAGTTTTACTTGGAGTAGTATATTTCCAGGGTTCAGTTTTAGTGCCATAATTTTCCTTTCAACATTTTGTCCACTCCTGCATGCCCTCATTGAATAAAAATCAAATACTAAGTTCCACTTTGCATGTCATGTCCCTTTTTGGGCTCTAAACCCTTTCTTGTGCTTCACTGCTCTTAGCATAAAGTCCAGATCCAGTAGTTTGAGCCTTCTGCTTTTTGATCCCAACATGTTCTCCAGTGTTCTGCAGTTTGGCTCAGTACTTCTTTTTGTTTCTGTTAAAATGGATAATTCACTGTTATTTGGATGTTCTGTCCATTTTTCACAGTTTTGTTTAAATTGCTGGGTAGAGGCAGGGGAGAGTAGGTTAAAGTAATTGGCCTGTGGTCTGTTTCTCTCCTGATTACCAACAGCACGCTTCTGGGACAGAAAGAACACAGGTGGCCTGGTCTTTTCTCCTTATAAACATGCTGATATTGTAATCTTTTTGTGAATACAGACTATTGTATGCTATGAGCAGAGTCTTTATCTATGGAAGACTTTGAGCAGGATGACTGGTTTGCTTATGGTAAACTAACGTATAATCTGTGGATATTTGAAGTAAATTTCTCTGAAGAATATCATAGAAGCAGTAACACTCTCTGGCACATAAAATTGAAGTATTTTGTAACCAAATGCTTACCAATGTATGAGGTAACCTTTTTGCCTCACTTAAAGACCTCACCTACTCTGGACCAGAGGGTGCTGGCAGTGAGACGCAAGGACCCGGGAAGAAATGCCTCTCCAGCTTTTCCTTGCCTGTGCCTCTGGATTGCTTATTCCCTTGATATTATTAGCAAAGTTATTACCGGTAAAATTTCTGAAGTGAGTGTGTCTGCCTTGACAGTCCAAACCAGTGTCGGCTCACTGCTTTTCTCCAATGTTCATTTGAAATCTTAACCATACCTCAAGGCCTAGTTGAGAAATCTCACTGGGACCTCTGAACCTATTGTAACCTATAGGGATCTTCCCATTTTTCCAAACTCATTTTAGACTTTATCGTCTACATGAGTTGCCTGTGGCAGTTTTTGGATTGTTGACTTACTTCATTCTTGCTTAACTTCCTGAAAAGCTGCTTAACTTTTTGATATTTATGCTTTTACTCCTCCGGTAACCTCTAAGCTTAGGAACTGAGGCCGTGTTCATGGCTGTAGCTAGCCAAGATCCTTATACATGATAGGCCCTCAAATGTTAATTTGCTTTAGAGAAATGAAGGTCAAAAGCCACAGCATTTGAGTAGTTGGGACCATTCTTTTATAGTAGTTAGATGTTTGCATCATGTTAATATTTGAAGGAAAAATGTAAAGAAAAAATGAAACTTCTGAGAAAGTTATTTTAAATTTTTATCAGACATTATTTGTTATATTTTTCATATTATTATAAATATACTCTGAATCATAGCAATACTATTTGTTTATCTTCTAGAGGGGCAGTTAAGACACATAAAAACTGGGGAACCATTTGTTTTTAACTACCGGGAAGACTTGCACAGGTGGAACCAGAAAAGATACGAAGCTCTAGGAGAGGTATGGTCATATATTCAACTTTAAACTTTTTTTTTTTTTTCCAATTTTGAATAGTCAGAATAAAGGTTTTGAAGCTAAAGCATATCTTGAAGTCTTTCTTTTAAAAAAAAGTGATTTTAAAAACATTTTGCATTTTTTTGTTTATTTCAATGGTTATGTTTGAAACATATTCTCAGTTTCAAAGTTTATGTTTTTATGTAAACATATCCTTCCCGTAACCCTAATATTTTGTAGTGAGTTATTACATCAGAAAACAAATTCATGCCAAGTTTTATCCTTTAAATGTTTTTAAAGAGGTTGAATCCTCCACCCTGCCAGGCGGGATAAGTGTTCTTTTAAGTGCTTATCTTTAAAAAAAATAAATAAATAAGTTACCTATGTTAATTATGTGAGGTGATGGATGTGTTAATTGTATTAATCTTGTTTATCATTCTATAATGTATGTATATATCAAATCATCACAGTCAGTTATTCCTCAATAAAGGTTAAAAAAAAGGTGCTTATCTGTGTGAAGATTGATATTTACTTGGCTAATAAATTGGGTCTAACCTACTACCTTTGACTTGATGGAGGATTAGGCCTTGTGACCATTTAGTTTCCTCACGTGGTACCAGTGGGAGGAACCCTTGAAAATGTCATTTGTCATTCAGGTGAATGTTCTGTTAAAGCCAAAAGTTTTATTCATTCTATGTCATATTAAGTAATTTTAATAAAATGCATATGGACACATTTGTTCAGTGTGATAACTGCATACTACTTTCGTTCTCTAAGGAAAAGCTGAAGTTCCTATATTCCTGTTTTGATTCTTTAAAACACTAGTTAGAATGAATTACTTGGTTGAACAGTAGCATAAAGAATACATGAAACTTGGTGTATGTTTGCTAGGAGAAAGTTCTCCATGGATTGCATTTCCGCATGTGTCTGAGCAAAGGTGCTGACAGCTTTTGTTGTGGACTACCTTTTTGAGGGTGTTTGTATTAGGAAACTGCTTGGAAGACAGAAATTGTGTCTTCCTCCAAGGCAGAGAGCAGATTTGTTAGCTGTCCAAGAAAATGCTTTCCCGTCCCCCACTGGGGGCAAAGAATGGGCAGGTTTGTTAGCAACCCCCTTATAAGATTGGGCTTCATAAATTTTGAGGTTCCTCAGCTATAATACAGTCCCACTGTGTGCTTAGCCTCTATCCTTGGCCTGTCCACATTGCCTCTTTGGGCTTTGAAGGACCAAAGAAAGAGATGAAAATAAGTTCATGCTGCTTGCCCTATAACTCAAGTAATAAAGTCTTTTGTCTCTGACACATGAGTCTAGTGTTTTTTGACAGTATCCATGAAATAGTAGCAGGCTAACTTGTTAGCTTGCAAACAGGATAAAATCTTAGGCCCTTCAAAGTTCTTGACATTGTTCTCTAGCATTTATAACTTAAGTATAATTAGTGCCCTGAATAATTTCTGCTGTACATGAGATGTTTGCCCATTTCCACATGAATTAACTATATGCTGCAGGCTAGTATTATGTTGATTCTAGAATATCCATACTATATGACCTTACAGAAGAACTGGGGATGTTTGTTTTGTTTTGTTTTTAAATAGGGCTTACAGTTTACTCTTTTCCCTGAGCCACACATATTTGTTCACTTGGACAGGTGCTGTTCTGTAAACAAACTTTGTCCTTTTTGGCATCTGCATCTTTTCCACCCTTAACCTGTATCCCCTAGCATCATCTCTGTCAAAATTTAGCAACTATGGGGCACCTGGGTGGCTCAGATGGTTAAGCGTCTGCCTTCAGCTCAGGTCATGATCCCAGGGTCCTGGGATCGAGCCCCACGTCGGGCTCCTGGCTCAGCGAGAAGCCTGCTTCTCCCTCTGCCTCTGCCTCTCTCCCTACTCATGCTTTCTCTCTCTCTGTCTGTATCTCTGTGTCTCAAATGAATAAATAAAATCTTTAAAAAAAGAAAAAAAGATAGTTAAAAAAAAAAATTTAGCAACTGTGTCTTATTAGATTATCCATGTACAAGTGATTCCTTTCTCCTAGATCTCCTACCGTATGTTCTTTGGACGTATGGATTGTCACAGGTTTAATTTTTGGTGGATCTTACTCCATGATAAAGTATTTTGAAGTTTCACTTTAATGATTATATATAGATAGAGATAAAATATTCTGCATTATCTAGATTTCCCACTTCCTGTGCCTGCATTCACATTTGTGTTCATGATCAAATTGGCCCCAAATGATCACCCCAAATCACAGGATTTATTCTGTAATGCAGTGTATTTTAAATTTAGATCAGTGGACCCCTGAGCTTCAAGTATCAATCCCTTTTGCTTCCCAATATATTTATCAAAAGTAAATATAACTTTCTAGCATAAAACTGTCACAACAAAAGATCCAAGGATTAGAGAAGGGAAGTCTGGTTGTTAGCATTTTGTTCCCTACCATCTTGCTTCTCATGTCTTATTTGAAATAACTTGTTTTCATTACTAATCTCACTGTTGAAGGTTGATTATTAATTGAATTTCATTTCCTACATTTTAGGATTGAGATGTATGAGTTCTAGTTATATACGAATAATAACACAATTTTCATTATAGTACATTTGTTTGGTGTTCATTATGGTGGGATTTAGTAATACATAGGTGGACCTATCTTTTTGTCCATATTCCTTCATTTCTATTTCTGAGCTATGCCTTCCAGTTAGATTTAACCACCTTACTATACTTCATTCATACCTCTTCCTGCCTTCAGGTTTTGGATCTGATGTCTCCTAGGAAGCCCTCTCTCATCTCCTCTACCGTTCTTTGTCTTTCTCTTTTCTCAATTTCCTTTCTTCTCATTCTCTTTTTCTGCCTTCTTGCCTTCTTTCAAGAAAGATTTAATGTGACCTTAAATGTGAATATTGCATTTAGCAATATTAAAAATTAAGTTAAAAATAATAAAATAGAATTAAAAAATGTTAGTAAACTAATGGCGTGAGTTTGCTTTCTTTCTCTTAAGATACTTTACTCTGTATTACAGTATTTTTTTATGCTTGTCTTTCAACAGTTTGGGGAAATTTTCTGTTCTCATGATATTTGTTGAATAGCAAATGAGTGTGATACAAATATATAAACTATAAATTCTAGACCTATGCATTTCAGGAAATTCCTTAATTTTAGGAATTTGAACATAAAGATAGGCTTTCTTATTGGAAGAAAGGAAAATGATATGCTAATGATAATTTTCCCATTTGTAGAACTAAAAAATTTTCAATTATTTTACTCTCATTCCCATTTAATTTCTAAGAGTTTCAGATGATTATAGCTTTGCTGATTAAAATTATTTGATTAAAAGTAGTCTGTATTTGTGGCATGTTCTGCTGGAAAATTTTTATTCTTCATAGTCAAACTCTAGACTTAATTTGCTATAATTCAAAAAATAGAAGTTCTTGTATGACTGTCCAAAGTTCCTAGAAAACAAATAAACCTTTGCATTTAAATTCTGGAAATAATTTAGTACTTCATGTTACCAGTGAGGTTGCTAGTTGCAGTAAGTGAGAATCTGTAGAAAGCATCTCACCACGTCCTGTACATAGAAGCATTGAAAAACCTCCTTCCTCCTCATTGATGGATAGGGTGGAATTCAGAAGAAAGTGCAAATTGGAGTTTGTTGCCTAGGAGTCTGCCTTAATAAATAGCTTCTGATATGCTTAAGATTGAAGTTTTAAGGAAACAGATTCTGACTTTAGCCAACAATCTAAACCAAACCCCTTCTGGTTTTTTTTCAGTGTGTTCCTACTAAATATCGAGTTTTGTCTTCACTAGAAAGCTACTATGTATGTTTCACAAATGCCGTTTTAGTTTATGTTTATTTCTCTCTTAAGGAGATTATTATAGCAGTCATTCAGCAGAAATTGTTTTTAAGACTTGCTCCTGAAATGCTCTGTCATTTCTATGTAAATTAAACTTATTGTGTAAGTAAAATAAACTGAGATGTCAGTTTGTTTTTAGAATGCAGTTCCATAACTACACAAAAGAATACTCTTTGCATTCACATAGTTACGTTTTTATACTCAAATGCTTTTGCTAATATGCATTTTTTTTTTTTTACTATCTACATATAGCTTGATAAAAATATGTAGCCTATAATAAGTTTGGATAATTTATCTAAATTTAGAAAGATACTGTCAGGGTTTAAGGAGGTGGGAGAGTGGTATGAAGGGGTAATTTTCAAAATAGAATTCTTCAGTATATATACTGGAGTTGAATGCCAGAGAATAATGTTTCTGGTAGGCTCAATCAGGAAGACTCCAAAGGCTGTCATATGTCAAGTAGTAAGTAGAATTTAGGTTTCAGGCTTCATTTGTAAAAACTAGCATGTAATTTGTGAAATTTTCCCAACTATCTCTTTTATATCAATACTGAATTACTATTAAGTGGAGAATTTATAATCCAGCAGAAATTCTAATGAAAGAGATTTGATTTTCTTAACTAATTTGGGTCTTCGCATTTCCTTTAATATTTATCTTAATTACCTCTTTAAGAATTAATAAATTGTCAGTGTGCTTAATAAGAGAATAGCAATGATTTGATAGTCTTATAAGCGTGGCTTTTTTTTTTCTTGGCTAGAATCACACAAAAACAACCAGGGGCGTAATTTTTTTTTTTTTTTTTCACCTGTGAAGCCATCTGGTCCTGCACTTTTGTTTGTTAGAAGTTTTTTGATTACTGATTCAATTTCTTTGCAGGTTGTCAATCTGTTCAAATTTTCTATTTCTTGCTGTTTCAGTTTTGGTAATTTAATATTTCTAAGAATTTACCTATTTCTTCTAGGTTGTCCAGTTTGCTGGTGTATAGTTTTTCATAATAGTCTCTTATAATCATTTGTATTTCTCTGGTGTTGGTTGTCATTTCTCCTCTCTCATTTGTGATTTTATTTATCTGAGTCCTTTCTCTTTTCTTTTTGCTAAGTCTGGCTAGAGGTTTATCAGTTTTATTGATTTTTTTCCCAAGAACCAGCTCCTGGTTTCA